GAAGACAGTGAAGAGATGAAGCCAAAGAAGAAAAAAACACCACCGCAGGAACCTGAAGAGAAGAATGGAGAAGATCCTCCGAAGAAGACAAAAGAACCAAAGAAGAAGACAACGAAGGTTGAAGAAGAGAAGGAGGCCGAAGAGGTGTCAATGAAGGAGGAGGATGACAAGGAAGAGGATGAGGAGGAGGATGAAGACGAAGTGAGCAAAATGCGGAAGGAAAAGCGCAAACAGTACTGGGAACGCTTTAAGAGCAAGAAGAATCAGGCCGACGCTGAGGAGGAAAGCGCAAAAAAAGCAAAGAAGAATGCTGAAGCGATTGAGGCTGCAAAGGTTGTTGGAGCTGTGGCCCTCCAGACGAAGGAGGATGTGAAGAAGCGAAAGAAAGAAGGTGAGGTCGGAGCGAAGGACAACAATGAAAAGAAAGGGAATGAGGAGATGAAGAAGCGAAAGACGAAAGCGCCCCAGGAATCTAAAGAGGAGGTTGAGAAGAAGGAAGGGGAAACTGCGATTATGTTGCAAAGCAGTGATGAGGAAGCAGCAGCCACCATGGATGACCGTGGGAGACCTCTGATCCCAAATGAAGCTGAGGCAAGTGAGGAACAAAAGAAAAAGACTGAGGTGATCATGGCATCCCTGGGCAACATCCACAAAACCCTCAGCTGGACCACAAACGATGACATAGTGGCAGCGCAAAGAAAGATGAAAAAGGTGAAGCTAGCAGAGGAGGAAGAAGGTGAGGGCTCAGGCGATGACGATGACAAGATGCTTCGTGAAGCCGAAGAGGAATCAGAGGAGAAAAAGAAAAGCAAAGGGCGAGGACGAGGAAGGGGCAGAGGAAGAGGAAAGGCAAAGAAAGATGTTGAAAAAGGTGATGATGAAGCACAGGAGCAAGGACATGATCAAGAAAGGGAGAGGACTCCGGCCGAAGCAAAAGAAAAAGGGAGGAAGAAGGGCACAGGAAAAGGTGCAGATGACAAAGAGGACACCTTCGAACGCAAGACTGGAGGCACCAAAGGAAAAAAACAGCAAAAAAGTGAAGCGCAGGAGACCAAGGAAAGCCCGATGAAGTTGTCCTACAAGGCTGCCAAGCGGGTGGTAGAGCAAAAGAAGGCAAGGGATGGTTCTGACAAAGTGAAGAGGAAATTGAACTTTGAGCAGGTGAGCGATGAAAAGCCTGAAGTGGAGAGAGAGGAGGATGGAAAGAAGGCAGCAAAGACAAAGAGAGTTCAGGAAGTCACGGACACTCGGCTATCAACTTTGCGGGGGGGAGGGGCAACACCGCAACCTGTTAAGTTCTAAAACCTAAATCCTTTTTGCAAAATCCTCTTGCCTTAAGACTCATGGATTCGGTCTGTCACCAAAGTGTGCTTTGCATGTTGTTCTTCCATTGCTTGGGTCATGCAATTGAATCCGCCTGAGGACAAATCCCTTGAAGATCTTTCCAAGCTGGTTGCTACGCGCGACGTGACCTTTGGTTGCCCACAGGATGTTGTTGGGGCACTCGTGGCGTTTGAAGCGGGAGAGCCGGTACACTATCCGCGGAAGTAGGGAACTAAGTCCTGAGATTGATATCCCCCATATACACCCTGTTACCTTGCTCAATGAGACAAGGACCTACACCTTGGGGCCTCCGGAAAACATCGACGGTGGCAGCACTATTGGGATCCAGCAATGCACTTACAGTGAGTTGCAGCTTTGTTTTTTGCACATGAACAGAATCTCACTGATGTTGAAAACCCTGGGCCCAGTTTTTCGTGTGATCCTAGGCTGCACACTCGGACCTTCTTCGTCAACAATGTTCCCAAAGAGCGTGTGATCAACATGAACCGTGTGCTGCAGCTACAGTTCAATGTGCTTGGATTGCACAACCATTTAACAAGTCATATAAGCGCAGTGCATCTTCAAAGTTGGTTGTTGCTGTTTCCCACGCTTGGCTATGACATCTCAGGGAAATGTGAAGAAGGGTGTCAGCGTTTCCTGGAACAAGCATGGGATCGTTGATGGGCCACAATCCTACTTCCAGTGTTGACTCCATCAAAGCAAGATTAGTTACTTGCAGATTCAACTTCTGGTCTAACATAGCTTGACCTTGAGCCTAGGTGGATCTTGGCCAAGAAGTTGGCTGGGTGGCTCCACTTTGAGGTGGAGGAAGAATGCGACAGGTCCATCTAGTTATTCTTAGCCGATTAGCCTTAGCAGGGACTCGCTGGCATAGAGGGATTGAGCCATTGCTGTTGCAGTTTTTGTGTGTTTGTTGCATTGGTTGCAGCTCCAAATGATGGAACACCGTGTGTTCAGCTTTTGGGGTGCAATGGTACTCATACCCCAGCTAGCGATAGCCTTGCTTCTTTTGGCCGTTGTGAACCTGCCTTGTCCAGGACACACACACACCAGAGGGGATGGAAAAAAGAATACTGAAAGCATCTGAAAGCATGCAGAATGGTTTCGTTTCATTGTGCATATTGCAAGAACTGTGATGTGGGGACATGCATGTTTTTTTGTCAAACCATGTGTGATGATCAAAAAAACGCAGCTCTTTGAAAGGTTTTGTGGTGAAGGCAATTGGTTTTGCCATGACCCGGTCCCAGCGAGTCTCCGCCCTCTCCTTGAGCGCTCGTGCGTCGCAACTCTTGCTTCGCCTCGGGGCACCACTGATATTGCACTGTGGCTGACCAGTGGTGTTTGAAGAACATGAGCAAATATAGTCTTGCTTTTCAACCCCCTGGTTCATTCAGACTGGTTGAAACTGAGTCTCCACTGCATTGACTACGTTGTGGAAAACTCCTCACAAGCTCAGAGCCGGAGGGTCTCTCACCTAGTTTTGATGTGCTGGAGCTTACATGGATCAAACCAGGTGAGGGGAAGTAAGTTCCATTCTGCCCACTTTCCCAGGATTGCTACAATGCAGATCTCTTTTCGGGCCAGGGGGCCATTAACCGGGCCTTTGGCGCAAGTCTCAGATCGTGAAACTCGAAAAATTGGAAAAGGGGACCAAAGTGTCAATTCCCGTTGTTGTACTAAGTTGAAGATGGCCTGAAGTCGTGGGTCTCTTAACGCCTAGTTGGATTGGAATGCTGGAATGAATATGCACATGTTGGTATGACACATCACTTGGCCCCAAAAATCCTTTGCATGAAACGAGGAAGGCTTTTGACAAAGAGACCCATGGATCGTCTGGCGACATCACAACAACGCAGCTCCCTGAGAGTGAGGATCAAGTGGCTAGAAGGTCTCAATAGGGCGTTTGCACCGGCACCGATCACCAAGGGATGGATTCCTTCGCAGCATCCAGATCATTTTGCAACAACGTGAAGGCGCAGTGATCACTGCAGGTCCACCGTGTGGGTCTTTCGTGTTCATAAACTTGTGGACATCTCAACGCTCCCGACATCGCCCGATGGGGGGTCAGCGTGAGTACGTCAAAGACGCCAACAAGATCTTTGACTGAATTTGGACCAGAAAAAGTAATCCGAGGTAGAAGCTGGGACACACTAGTCTTGATTGTTCTTGACCTGTTTGGGCCGACTCTGGGGCATCCAAGGATTACATGCAGGTTGTGCTTGCTCCTGCTGCTTGGGTTTGTGCGCTGTGTGGTCTGCCTGGTGGAGCAACCGGCATCATCGTTGATGCTGCTGTTCCCGTACTTTCGCTGGCTGGTGAAAACCATTGGTTGCCATCTCCCATGGCTGACCACTAAATTGCCCTTTCCTTGGCTGTTCTGTTTGAATTCCAGTAATGCATCAACAGTTGAAAAGTCTAAAGCAAACAGACTTTTCTAACATTGAACGGGTTCTGCTCTAATAGCGGCTGCTGAGTCAAATGGCGGTATATGGACATGAAAATATGAAGCCGACGGTCGCCTTTGGGACAGCGTTGGGGCCTTGGTTCCCTGTGAGAGGCTTTCAAACAATTGAGTTTTGTGATATCTGGGCGACTGTTGCTGAGTCCTTGGTCCTACAAGCTCCGGAAGAAGGTGCCAGCCAAGGTGAAGAACCGTGTTCGTAAATCCAAAGCTATGGTACGAAAATACATCGATAAGGCTGGAAAAAAAAGAGTGCAGCGGGCTTAGTTCCAGTGCGCAAATGAATCCTTTAAAAACCATATATTTGCCTAAGTAGGAACTACGGTAGCCGTAGGATATCCCGGAATCACCCCTCGTCGGATTCCCAGGTGTGGGAACTCCAAGCAGCTTCGGAAATCCCAAGTGTACCCATTGGGCTATGGCCGCGCCATTCGACGACTGCACATGCAGTGGATGGTCCCCTGGTAAGCAATATTGAGAGGTGGACACTTGCAACCTGGGAGGATTCAAAAACCAACATCATCCCAGCTGCTTAGCCAGGACACGGAAGGCAATGTGGCACGTCTTCACGAAGCGATGTACCCACCTAGAGGTGGATTGAATGAGGAGCTGGTAGGGAAAGCCACACAGGCTGGTTTGGCAGGGTTATATAGTTGGAACCACCACCCAATCAAATCAGTGTGTCCCAAAAGTTTTTTGTTGCCTTGATCATATATCATTGGGAGGCACCTTATCGTTGGCGCCATGCAGCACTTTCTGAGTTGCATGACTTCCTTGTCAGTGAACGCAAAGCCAAGCGTTATCACCCCGTGATCCTAGAAGGCCTTGAGTGAATCTCAAGCTATATCCCGGGAAAGGTCTTTTTGCAACCAATTCGGAATTGTGATTTCCACCCTGGTCTGCCCCTATCACTCATGTGAACTCAACATATGTTTCCTTAAACAGGGATTTAGAGCAACTCCCATATGTTTATGGTGATGATGGGGCTGGGACACCTGGTGGTGGGCATGAATGGCGGAGTCTATTTCTTGCTGGCTTGCTACAAGTCAGGCCAGCTCCACACAAGCATTTATGATGGAAAATGATGACCGTGAACGAACCGTGAATGAGCGTGAATAGACCGTGAATGGAGGTTATTAGCCGTGAAAGACCGTTATTATCCGTGAAAGACAAACACCCTAAAATCCACTAAAATCCTGTTAATTTCCAATCGTTTATTATGAGATCTATCAATTGAAGCCGTGTGGGCTGGATCCGACAAGGCCTCCGGTAGTTCTGTGGTTTGTCACCATGAAAGGGGGCGATGAGTCGGGCGTAGATGGGATTTTGAAAAGAGCGGCCCTTCGGTCAAAGCGCGTGTCCACACATGACGAAAGCAATGAAGAGAGAGGAGCTCCAAAGGAACATGATCTGCCTGCCAGGACCTGCTCTAGTGTTTGGTGCAGTGTGGGGCCATTTTATGATAGTACCAGGAAACCTACACACGCATGTTTGTTCTGGAAGTTTCAAGATGAGAGAACTTGAGTATCAACACCCTGGGAGTCCAAGACCATTCAACATGTGGCCTTTAGGTGATCTGCAAAGGAATGTCCTTCAAATCATAACGGTTTTTCAATACTCAAACGCTTGTATGTGGAGCACATAGGTCAAAATCATCATCGGGCGCAAGCGTGGCCAGGACGGTGAAGAAAGACCAGAAGATGAAGCCCAAAGAGAAGCGTGTTCCCCCAGAAGCAGGCTTGGTGGCATGGTACCAGTACTGAAAAATCAATTGCCACCTTCACTCCATCAACCCAGTTCTCAATCAGCTTGCTAGTATGATCCAAAGATAGATTAGTTGCCTATAAGCTGCTACTTCATGAGGCCTCACCCTTTTTTGTTTCCGATGCCAGATTCGGATGCTACAACTGTTCCAGCTTCGGCAGAAGAAGTGAAGAAGTTCAAATCAGGGATTGCGCATCATGTCCAGAAGACACCGACTCCCAAAGGCAAAGTGGTAGAGAATCAGAGCTCAGAACCAAAGATCAAGAAACAGATTCAAAGCAAGAGAATCCTAGAGGAGGATGAGGGGAAGAACGAAAAGAAGCCAGCTAGAACAGCAGTGAAGGCAAAGCCTCAGCCTCGGCAGCAACCTGATCAGGTTGCCAAGGCTGAGGTTGGAGGTGAGACTCCAAGAACCGCAAAGGCTGTTCAGGAGTGCCTGAGGCGGGCATCGACAGCTGAGATTCTCCACAAGACACCAAAGACGGGCTCTACCACTACACCAAGTACAGCACCAAGACATGGCTCTGATGAACCGTGCAGCCCAGAATCTCAGAATTCTCGGGCTGAATCTGATGAGGAAAGCGCAGATGAGGAAGAGTGGGCTAAGAAAGCAGCGCAGGCAAAGGCCAAACGACAAGCCCACGCAAGATTCATGCGTTTCTCCCGGTCGTTGAAGAGTATCTGGGCCAAATTTACTTTCTTCGGTCTCTTGCTACCATCGGCTAGTACTTCGGATCCAAAAAACCAATTCACATGGGCAATTTTCCTCTTGGCATGTGTTGGCCAGGGTCAGGGCCAGGGGTGGGGCCAACCACACATTCACTCCTAAAGCAATCCTCAAATGTGTCCTCACTTTCTGTTGGTTTTCTCATCGAAAAGGATCCACTTTTGCATATTGAACCAAAATCAGATTGGTCATCTTGGGAAATATGTACAATGTTTTGAGCGAGCTTGTTTGTGATGTTTCATGAACCAGTTTGTGGGAAGGGCAGGAACCAGTGTGTGGGAGGGGCAGCGGGCACCGTGTAAGGCAAGCGATCACCGCCGGAGATAAGGCGGGCCGGAAGAGCGGCGCACAGGGACAGCTCCAAACTCCAACTATTGTTGGAGCAATGGACTCAATGTGATGGGGTTTGGGCTGAAAGCGACTTTGTGATAGAGTGCAGGCGCAAGACTCGTCACCGCCAGTATGGTGCCCGAGTTTGGCTCACGCGCAGTGAGCTGATCACAAAATACCAATCAGTGGCAGTGGCCGACTCCATCATAGAAGCCAAAGAACAGGACGAGGTGGCCAGCAGGGAGCAAATCCGGTTGCATCCGGATTTGCACGGAAGGAGCAGTGCAGATTCTTGAATTAAGATTTTCTGGCACATGTTTGTGGTTTTCATCTCCTGGCATTTGCACTGCCAAAATAATCACCACAAGCCTAGTACGTGCTATAGTACATGTTTTCGATTTGGGTGGATCGATGATCTGAGAACATGTTAAAAGTTGAAAAAACTAGTGGAACCTGGTGTAAGCTCGCCCCTTGAATGCAATGCCCATCTGTGACCCCCAGATTCCTGCCTTGTCCTCCCAAGGAAACTCGACAGTATCTTGTATGGGAGAAGGACGGCGAGGAAGAGCAAACAGACCATGTTTGCTCGGAGCTCTTCAGGGCCGCTGAGGGTGGTGACGACGAGAAAGACCGAGGACGATCCACGAAGCGAAAGGGCTCGAAGCGAGAGAAGGGGAGAAAAGCAGGAAAGAAGAGAAAAGCAAGTTCCTCTAGTGGTGAGAGTTCATCCAACCCCGGCTCAAGCAGCTCTACAGCTTCGTCGGACACAACTTCCAAGGCTGGGATTTCAGGGCCACCAGTTCACTGCAATCCTTGAATAAGACAACCCTGGAACTCCAAGACTATGTAGAAAATTGCCTTTAGGTGATCCGAAGAGGAACTTTCTTTACTCGTAAATATAGTGTTTGGACTTCTAGGGGCAATGTCATGATCTGGGGATGGTCCAGACTCTTTTGGCACAAACTCAAGATAATTTCATGTCCCAACCTTGCAGAGTTCTGGTGGTTTTGGTGTTATGTCCTTCCTTGCTGGGTCTTGGGTGGACCTTGGAAAGAAGCACTCCTGAAAGTCAAACGGATATTCCAAAGCAACCAAACACACATCTTTGTTGAATTGCCTCCGGCCCGTCGTGGCAGGCAAAGGCCAAAAAAGGCAAGCACAAGACTAGCAGCAAGAAGAAGGCTCAGGGTAAGAAGGGTTCCAAAAAGACAAAGAAGACAAAGAAGGCAAAAGACAAGTCTTCGGATTCGTCGAGTAGTGATGATGAGAAAAGTGATACCAAGAAACCAGAAACCGATGAGCAAAAGAAGAAAAGAGAAGAAAAAGAAGCAGAAGCAGAGAAGAAAAGACAACAGAAAGAAGCTGAAGCAGCACGAAAGAAAGAAGAGAAGGAGAAAATGTCAGACTTCAGGAAAGAATTGGCAAAGGGCAATAAGGCTGGAGCCTGGGTGGTGGTTTGGAAAGTGGTCAAGAGCATGTGGTAAACATAGTAATTAATGAGATGGATTATAGCACCATTCAATGATGCTACCATGGTTTATTATAGAAAGAAACCACTGAACACCTTTACAAGCAATTATTTGATCATATTTGATCCCAATCGTCCACAAACAACCCTGGCCGTTTGTTTTCTCCCAACTCTGCATGCCAGGCGCTCACGAGGATGGGGAACAGCATTGCGAAGGCCATGAGCTTGGAGGACAAACTCCATACGATGATCCTTGGCACAGGTGGCTGGACAGTCTTGGGGACTTTTTGGGATAAAACAGAGTCAACAACAAGTTTATCTAGTGTGGATCGATAGTTGAACCAAATATGTGCATTGATAACAATTTGGGTGGTCTCTTTGTGGTCTTTTGTTTGTCGAAACTGCTCAGGAGCAAATCTGTTTCAGAAGCCATCTTGGTGGAGGTCAAGCCCCACTTGGAAAAACTTCGGAAGGTCAGAGGTGGTCTGCAAAAGGCTGTTGATGAAGCGAAGGCACTACGACCATACTATACTAGCTAATGTTAAGTCTGAACGACTTTGCATGCCAGAGATTGATTGTATGTTTGTCTTTGTTCAATGTTCACTCCAATGTCTTCATCTTCCAGGTAGATAAATTGGGGAAGATGCCTACCATGATCACAAGTGCTGACGCGGTCTTGCAGGATTTTTCAAATTTCCTTTCTGCGTACAACATCAAATGAGGTGTTTGCTAGATAGAAGATCGATGGCCTTGGTCTTGATGTGTGCGCTTCATGCATCTTAGACACCAATGGTCGTTTCAATCCTGCCACCAGCCAGTGAGATGGTTTTGGTGTCCTGCACAAGCAACTGCAAACTAGTGGCACCTAAATGCGGTCCAGTGAATGTTGCCAGCCATTGTTTTGCCAGCACTTTATGATGTATACATGACATCATGATATTAATGATTGTTCTTCTTAGTTCAATGCATGATGGGTTTGGACAAATGGTGCTTACATCATGGGGGAAGTTGCAGCTGCAGGATTTCTTGGGGCAAACCATGGCAATCCGAAAACGGACTTGGAAAAATAGCGTACTGAACGAACTGAGCTTTTGCCATCTCCAGTTTTTTGGTATCCTAGGTGGTATCGACACTTCTCGCATGCCCATATGATTTGGTGTTGGTCGAAGCCCAAGCCTGTCCCGCACAGGTGCTACATCAAGCTCCCAAGCTCCAGTCTCGTTGGAGGGGCACTATGATGATGTTGCTGCAGGGGTATCTGGGATCAAATCCAGCGGCACCCAATATCCAATTGGTTTATGTCTTCAAGTAAAACCAGTCAAACGCCGCCACCCATCGTTGTTTTTTGACTGTGCAAAAATGTATACACAATCTTCTTCATCATCATCATCATTCTAGACTGGAAAGAGGCCAGAATGATATTTTTGGAGTGGGTTGGGAAAAAACTCTGCATTGCCCTTGGCCCAGGTGTCCTCGGTGAAGCGTGTGATGCGCCGTGTCCGAGATCAAGCTGTGGATCCTGGGCAGCATCAGTGGGTGAGTGTGATTGAATCCCCTGAACAAGATTCCATCCAAACCTTCGCTTCCACCGTACGAGATGTCATGGGATTGATTGCCCCAAACATTTTTGGACACCGTGTTTCATTAGTTCAACATGTGTCATCTTCTTCCAACAAGCTCTTGATCGACACACTGAAAAGTGCGAGACCTTTAACCCAGGAAAGTGGAGGATCTCTTCACGAGCAGACCCTCAAACTTGGTACCAAATCTGGAAAGAACGATGTGCGAGACTTCTGGCGCAGTGCCGATATCCCTGTGGCACCTTGCTTTATTTGAGGGCACAGTACTAGCTTATAATTATAAGCTTTTGGAACAGTGTGTTCAAATCACATGCTCACATTACACCTTGGAAGATTAACATGGAACATCATGCACCTAAAAACCACTTGGGTCGGGAGGAGAATTTCCAAAGGTCCTTTTCAGGTTCCATGTTAATTTTCCTGGGCCTCCTTGTCTAGTCGTATGCAGGAGATTGAATATATTCGTGTGCCTGTGTATGACAAGAAGACAGCTCGCAAGTCGAAGGTGGAGGTCTATCCAATAATTTATCCCCACCGGATCTTGGCATACCTCTTTGACCATGTGCAGGTTGAGCTGTCAACTCATGATATCACAGAGTATTGGGATCACAGCCGGCAAACTGGTGAGGCCTGGGCCTGCAAATCAAGTGCATCACGCACTCATATTCCTTTGGGATTGCACGGGGATGGAGCCCGGTTGTGGACACAGTACAAGGTGGAAAAGATTGTTGCCATCTTTCTGAACATGCCGTTATTCCGGCCAAAGTCAGCAAGGCATTCGCGTTTCCTTCTGTTCACGATTGGTCGGCACAAGCTGATCAAAAACCGAACCATTAATGTTGTTTGGAGAAGGCTAGTCTGGAGTCTGAATGCTTGCTTCACAGGCTTGAACCCATCTCAAGGTCCAGGTGGAGCGCCACTAACAGGTGTTCATTTGGACATTGCAGGGCTTCCAATTTGCCAAGCGCAGCACAGGTTTGCTCTCACCGAGTTGAGAGGTGACTGGGAGTGGCATAGAGACACGTGGCGTTTTACAGCGAGTTGGCAAAGTCACGAAGTGTGTTTCCGGTGCCCGGCTGTGACTCGGGGTGACGAATCTTTGGTTTACTACAACAATGGCCCTACCAGTGGCTGGGTCAACAGAGACTTCACTTTGGATCAGTTCATTGCCCGACGTCTCAAAGAGAATCAGCTATGTGCCCGGGTGTGTTGAGCTGAGGTTGCTTTTTTAGTTGTTCTTCCCTGGAGTTTTGATCCATGCACCAGGTCGAACTGATTTCCCTAATCTTTACAAGGGTGGTGTTTGTTGTTGGTCTTCCAACCTGGTCCAGCTGAGGCCCCTTGCTGAGACTTGAAGGCTTTGATCCCAGTATCATAAAGTTTTGTTCAATGCATGCATTGAACTTGGGGCTCCTCTTCTCCTGCAATGCTGGGGCACTGTCATTTGGATGCATGAATTTTGGCCAAGTTTCCATGGCGCGTGGCACCAATACCAAACCAATGCAGTGCATAGCGATCATCCAATCAACCAGGGTCCTGATTCAATTGCGCGCTAAGGCTTCTGCTTTGCGAGGATCTGACCCACTTTGGTCAAGGCACGTTTGCTGAGCAACTAGATGAGGCTTACCGTGACTTCTTGGCCTTTTGCCGTTCTCGCCAAATACGGCATTCGCAACCGCCATTTATCCCACGCATGGTAACCTGCCTATTTATCGGACATTGACGTTGTGCCCTGCTGAATTTCAATGTTCCATCTTTGCATGCAATGACATGTTTTAGAGACTGTCCGTTTTGCCCATTTCAGGTAAAGAAAAAGAATGGTGATGAACTCTTCACTGCAAAAGCGTTCAATGGAAGGTTGATTTCGAGTTGGCTCAACCACACCTTATTTGTGGCACTGCAGCGGCACCCAAACCATGAAACTCTTATTCTCACCAGTTCTGCAATGACCCTTGGAATCAAACTTTGTGTGCAGACAAGATCACTGTTCAACTTGATCACTGTTGTGAAGAAATGTTGAGAGTTAGTGCAAACAACATTGTGAAGGGACCTGACCCCTTGCCCACCCAGCATCCCAAACATCTTGTCCTCAGGAGTGCGTTGGCAAAGCTCTTCCAGATCAGCGAGAGCAACGGCAGGTTTTTGTGGCATGGCTGAGAGAACCACGGGGTGTGCGAGTTATCCCAAAGATTCGTTGTGTCCGGTGTTGTGTCTGTTGATGATTCATGTTCATGTTCAGGGCATCCGAAACTGGCACCCATTGGAATCCAACAGCTGCATCAATCTAGCTCTACCTGCCGGCCAGTACCCCTCCCCAAATCTTTGGAAGCTCACCCATGTTTTAGTCCTGGTCCAAAGGGTCCTGGTTGACTAAGTGAACTTCCCTTGGGGAAGCAACTGACCCATTATCTAGAAACATCCAGGTCTGATTTCTGATGCGCCCTGAGGTCGCTAAGTGTGGCACAAGATCTTCATGATGCTGGCATGCAGTTCTTGACCATCTACAAGATCCTTTCCATCGAGCACATCAGGACTCAGAAGTGGACTCCTAAACCCTAGCATTCCACTTTTGGTCTTGGTAAACCCCTGGGAGTCAAAGACTTATAAAAAGAATGGTCTTTAAGGGACATGAAAGGGAAGTTCCGTTACTTCAGCCGGTCAACATATAGTCTTTGGACTTCTAGGGAAACAGTCCTTCTGGCAAAGTCTAGCCTGGTGTCTGTGGAGGTTTGGAAAATGCAGATGGCTCATGAAGCCGAAACACCATGTGACTACTCTAAATTAGTTTGGCGTCGGCTCATAACATCCAGAGTTTTCTAGAATGCCAGGGGACATTCCAAGACCTACCAAACATGTGTTGGAGGATGTTTGCTTACATGGGTAGTGCAGATCAGTGTCAAGCTTTAGATGGTCACCAACCCAGAGACCCAGAAAAGACTCAAGTGCCATGAGCCTGAGGTGCTGTCGCATATTTGCAAAGATGCACTCAAGTACAGTATCTTGGCCGTTGGTTGATGGGTCTGCCCAGCTAGCTAGCTCACATACACCCTAGCATTCCAAAGGCGGTTATATTTAACAGTCCTTCTGGGAAAGCTGGCTTCATGCAGATTTGAAACAGTCTTTTGTAGGAGGCTGGATTTAGCCTGGCATGCCCTCTCCCCCTGTTCCACAGCATTTAGGCAGAATCGTTTTTCCTGCCACAGCCACCTTTCAGGAGGAGTTGTTTGGGCTATTAACTTTTACAGCCCCTTTCATGTGCACAAATCTACTCATGATCACCAAGTAGATCCAGTGTTTGGTCGCCCAAGCATAGAGACTCAAGAGTGCTTCGCTTGAGGAACCAACTTCCGTATGGTGCATACCTATTTGGACGAAGACGCTATGCGCTGGGTCAAAAGTTTCTTGTCCATACGATGGGATTTCTCAAGCAACCTCCAACCTGCAATGTTGACTTGAAGAAACCAAAGAAGGAGGAACTGGATCCCTATTGTTCTGTTTGGTGAGGCATATCGGCAAAATCACACCCGAAGACTCGTCACCTGTGGCTCCTGAAGTGTGCAAAGCTTAGGCTGGTTTGCTGGCCAAAGTCTAGTGTTGATGTGTGATATAGGTTTTAGCTGGAGCACCCAAATTTCTGTTGTGGCAGGCTGCTGACTATGCGTTTCCGCTTGGATCGCAAGAGGATCCTTGGATCCCAGCTTCCTTGTTTGTTCATGCGCTTGGAATCCAAAGTGCTGTGCGTTTGTCGTTGGCTCACCCCAACCTATCGAAATTTCTGTTGTGCTTTGCCAAGGACAAGGGGCAACAGACGCTGAGATGGTTCGTGTGTGGCTGTGGCAGGAAAAAAAGATTCTGCCTAAATGCTGCTGCAGAACCACATGGGTGGAACAGTAGGAGAGGGCATGCCAGGCTAAATCCAGCCTCCTACAAAAGACTGTTTCATTTCTGCGTGAAACCGCCTTTCCCGGAAGGACTGTTAAAATAACCGCCTTTGGAGTGCTAGGGCGTAGAAACAGTCGGACTGGACTTCCATACCCTACTATACCCTATACCCTATACCCTCCAACCCAGACACACAAAAACAACAGTGGCCGGTGAACAGGCTCCCGGAAGACCAGGTTTTCCTTGAACCAACAGGGCACTCGAGTCCACGGATCCATGTTTCTTTCATGTTTGTCTCGCGACGTCGATGGTGAAGCAACGCTCTTTCCGTCACGTCGCACGCGAAGCGAAGCGAACGCCTGGCCTGGCCTGGCCTGGAAGAGTCGACGGTGCCCGGGCTGAGGAACGTGCCCATCGACCAGCCAATGCCTGGGGTGTCCCAGACCGGTGAACCGAACCGAACCGTTCCGAACGACGACACCGGAGGGCGCGATAGGTCTGATCGCCGAGGCTGGAGGTTTCAAAGCGGTGTTCTCGTGGCGTCTGTCTCGTGGCGTAAGTTGGTGTTATACCTTAGATGTGGTAGGGTTTTCATCGAGCCTTCATGGATCTTCAGTTGGCCATTTGGGGTTCTACACTTCAGAACCAGCAAATGAGACTGGCTGGGAGGCTGGGGTTGCTGGGTTGCTCAAGGAGAAGGTGTTTCTCATTGTTTCTCCATTCGGAACTTGAGCTCCTTGAGGCTTTCTAAGGGGCACACGAGATGAACTCCATGCGTGGCCTTATTACCAACAGAGGTTAAGTGACCGTAAATAGGACCCTACTGGGGTACCTATAGGATAGTCGAACTAGGGTTCTGACCCACCTCTGCTGGTAGTTTAACTGCTTCGTTGATTCATTGTGAGGGGAAAGTTTTGCCGGAAGTGAAGAAGCAGGTTCAGGTTCGATAAATGTCTGGCATCGACCCCGATATATCATTCCTCTTTCAGGACTGGATCTACGGACACCTACAGGTCTGGAATGAGTTCATTCTGGCACGATGTAGCCATATGTAGCCATTCATGGTGAATTGGAACGTGAGAAGAGCAGGGCGAAATCGCTGATCCGGTGATGGTTGAGGGAACCCCTGTCTTCGTCCATCCCCCCAAGACGTTGGCTTGGACGGCCCAAGACGGTGGACTCGAAGGAAGACGGCGACAGATATGGAGGCCACCAAGTGATCGGTGGAACTGAACCAACAGAGGTGGGTCAGGACCCGACTGCTTCGACTATAGGTACCCCAGTAGGTTCTTATTTACGGTCACTGGCTACCTCTCTTGGAAGAGCTTGCCAGGTTGACTTTTGTTCCATCCATCTGCAAAGCTTGGTTTGGAGGCTGACTGTTTTTGGCACGGCACTTCTGCACTTCTCCAGCTGTTGGTCTTGCCAGCCTTGCCCCGGAATTAAACAAAACACAACACCTTCAAGCTCTGGTCGGGCATCTGTGAGACGTATTATGAGACTTTTTGTGCAATCGTCCGCCGTCCGAATGCCATCCGATCTCATTTCTTCTTCGTGAAGGAAAGGGCATCTTAGTCGCCAGAGTCACTCAGAGAAACAGCCAAGTCCTAATGGATTGTTGATCCACTCGGAATCCGTCGCAACCTTAGACCACAAACTCGCATGTCCCACACCACACCTTACTTCCTCTCCAGCCTCAGTCGGATCCATGGTGAAAACAGTCCCTGTTGGACTGGACTGGAAGATGTGCCATGGTTTGCTACTCTTCCACTTGTGTCTTCTCTCTGCGGTTTTTCACCAAACCGGGCTGCAGGCGAATGAAAAACCAGAAACCACCAGACTCCAGATATCTCCAGATACACCGCCCACCAGACCCGTAGGTGCCGGGGACAGCAGATGCAGGGAGGGAACAGAATCCGAAGCACTTGTGTTTCCCAGAAAACGAAGCTATAGACGTTCAGCAACTGGAAAACCCTATACCAAACAAACATCATCGATGGCAGTTGATATCGCGGCTCATAGCAGTTCATCCAAATGGTCCACCAGACCACTCTACCGACTTCGGTGACGTGCATTCACGTTCCCCACGTCCGTCCATCACCCGAACGCCCTCGGTCTCCACCGACCTGCGCGGGTTAGCTCCGTGCCATGGGCGCTGGTGGATCGGTGGTCGAGGGGCAATTGGTCGAGTCGGGCGATGAGAATGCCCCTCGACGTCGACAGGTCGGTGGTTCGGAAACCATCCGGCTTGGGTCGGGGGGGGGTTCCCGGTGGTTCGAAACCTCGAAACGGTGTGGGTTTTTGGGGGGGTGGAAGAAAAGGGTGAGGTTTTTTGGGGTCGGAACACCCTTTCTGTAGATCCGGGCAAAAAGAAACACATCCGGGTTTCTTCGACTGGAGTACTTTGGGCTTCGGGAGGAGATTTCGGGTGCGGCTTGGCTTGGGAGTCACTTCCTGCAGCGCCGTGAAACAGCACCAATCCCCGGAAACCGCCGCCGATCACGTCTCCGTCTTAAGGAAGGGTCGGTTGCTCACCCCGTGAGCGGTATATAATCGGGCTGTTTTTCACGGAGAATCTGGAGGTACCAGGAGTCACAAAGGTGTGCCCAATGGAAGTCTATAGGTAGTGTGGGGTACTTCATTGGACACCCCTTTGTGACTCCTGGTATATGTGAATGTGCATATTTTCAAACACGTACCAACAGATCCAACAGAGAGCTTGAGGAACCTTTCCATGTTGGGTACCGGTCGGTGACGGGTCCTGGCCTCTCAGGTCACTGGTCAGAAACGTCACACCGGGTGACCCGCCTTTCTGGAGTCTAAGACCACCCGGTCAACCGGTTGGTCCGGTTGGTCTTCACGTAGCACCAAGGGGTGTCCCTTTCGACTTCAGGACACCGTCGAGCTGTGCCAGGCAGGAAAGCGTGGAAGCGATCGAGACACAGGTCCAGTCTGACCCAGGTCCAGTCTGACCCAGGTCCAGTCTCCTGGTTTCCGTCGTGTTTTTGATACCTGGATCTGACCTGTCGCCTGCCCCACATGTCTGCCTAACTGGGCTTCTAATGCTACAACTTGGTATGAAGAGGCAGACATGGGGCAGGATCAAGCAAGATCCAGGCATGGCCAACGAGCTGACCACGGCACATGGGTCTTGGACCCTGACCTCGAACGGGGCTGAGGTCTTGGACCCCTACCAAGTCGCTCCTCCGTGTGAGTCGGTCGTCCGTCGTGGACGACGATGGTCGGTTTTGGGAGTGCCGGTCTTTGGAAGGTGGGTTTTGGACGTGTTTTTGGGTCTTGGCTCCAAAAGGAAACGAGCCAAGCATGGGTGGCCAATCCAATTTTTAGAAAGCTCGAAGGTCCGATACAAGGAGATGTTGGCCAGCAGCACGTCTTTCTGACTTAAATGATGAAGGCACCCACATGACGAGCGCGCCGCCCGCAATTTCTCAAAGTATCGACCTTCAACCATATTTGCTTCAGAGAACCCATCACTGAAATGGATCACTTATTCAGTAGTAGAGAGTATATATATATATTATTATGTAATTAGCTATAATTATAGGTACTCAGCCTAGATACAGAAGACTCATCCCACTCAGATAGTCTCAAACTCTTCAGAATCCCACCTCAAGAGGACACCACCTTCCGTCCTCGTCCTCCGTCCGCTCCCCGTCTTCGCGACCAGGACCGGGACCCTGGCGACGGTGCACCGCCGGGATCCAACGGGCGAACCTTGTGCAGAGACTTCGCCAAGGGCAACTGCAAGTGCCCCGAGAGGGGGGGTAGGAGCGGACGCAAAGGCACGTAGCTTCTTGCTACTAGAAAGGCACTTGTTACGGCATAGGTATCAAAAAAAAATAAAAAGAGCATCAACAAAAAAATAAAAACAGGATCAAACAAAAAATAAAAACAGGATCAAAAAATAAATATTCCTTGATAGGCCTCTTCTGCTGCTCTCCTGGCCTTGTGGTCTGCGGGTCCTCTGGTAATGTGGTCCCTTGGTCCTCTGGTCCACTGGTCCTTTGGTCCCCTGGTCCCTTGGTCCTTCAGTCCACTGGTCCCCTAGTCCTCCGGTCTCCTGGTCCTCTGGTCCTGTGCTGCTGCTGCTACTGCTACTGCTACGCTGGTGCTGCTGCTGCTGCTGCTGCTGCTACTACTACTACTACTGCTACTGCTACTACTACTACTACTACTACTACTACCCCAACCATCCTCAGTGGGCTAGAATATGTTTTTTTTATTCCCTTTTTATTTTTTTATTGATCCCCGTTGAATATTTTTTTTTTTGATCCCTTACCCGTTTGTTACTACTAGCTTTTTGTTACTACTAGTAAGGCACGTGTTCCTAGTAGCGATGCACTTGTTACGAACGTAGCTTCTTGTTACTACTAGTGCCCCCGGAGCAGAGGAAAGGAGTGGAGCGGAGAATGTCCTGCGCTAGTAGGTTGGAGGCCACTGCTACTAGGTTGGACTGGAGGCCACTGCTGCTAGGTTTTGGAGGCCATCGCAATCAGGTTGGACTGGATCAGAAGAGCGGACGAAGGGACAAAGGGCAGGAGTTTTCACGACGGCAGTGTGGCGCGAAACACTCCACTGAAGAGTCAAGTTCTTTAAGCACCGCCCATTTGGTGCGACGGGTTTTGGGGTGGAATGACGTTTTAAGATAGCGGTTGCTACCGGTCTAATAAAATTCAGGAGCTAGGGGCAACCTGTTGATAACACAAGGGTATTTTTAAGATTTAAGATCTTTGAAGTCTCCTGTCAATGGAGAATGCCCTGGGAGTCCAAAGAATGGTCTGACGAACGTGGGACCTGATTTCGGGAATGTCCTTGTCTAGTCAAACTGGATTTCGCTGTACTGAAAAAGTTGTTCAAAAAGCCGAAGAAACTGCTGAACTCATAACGTGCATCATGAAGACATGACTCTTGATTCTCAAGAGGCCTTCAGTGTATCATCATGTCTCAGAGGAGAAGGCTACAATTGCATGGTTGCAATGTATTGGTGAGTTTGTGAAACCCACCATCACCCACCCAACTTCTTGGGGTTCTTTGTAGCATCTCATGAGGGTCCAAAACCACTGGGAAAACCCATCAAACAGGGTCCCACACCTGCAACACTGAGAAAGGCCCTCGCAACCGGGCGCATGTTGACCTCCATCGCCCCAGTCCTTCGTCCTGGATGGACTCCTCTGCAGCCGGCCGCCTTGCGTCGAGGTACGGCGATCGCTGTCGCTACTCGCACGAGAACGGGGGAAGCCCCGCGAGCCCGAGCGAGGGCACGCGGCCGTGCCGACAGTTCTTAAAAGGCGAATGCAAGCAACCTGGCGAGTGGATGGGAGTGTGAGGCTGGCTGGGTGGGATCAATACCTGGGCACAGGAACCAACGAACAGGAACACAGTCAACCTTCCATGGTTTGGTGGAAGAGGTTTTCGAGTCAGAGTCACAGCCATGTGAAGATTTCCTGGGCGGCCCCGGTGTATCGGTTCTTGCGGATCGATGCTTGATCTTTGTCCTTCAATCGTCTTCTGGAAAAACTGTTTCAGTATCCATGAATAGTGAGAGAGGATGATGAAACGTGAGAGGGGTCGGCACCCGCAAAGTTGGATGTTTCTATGGTTGGTGTTTCCTCAAAGCTAGCTATACCCTGAAATTCCAGTCGACCATTTTTGAGATGGTTGACCTGGTGACCTGAGAAGTCCAAAGACTATATATTGACCGGCCGAAGTAAAGGAAGTTCCCTTTCAGGTCCCCTAAAGACCATTCTTTTTATAGTCTTTGACTCCCAGGGTGTATATTGTAAGACCCTGAGTAAGACAATGGTTATTAGTTGTTAGGTAAAGGCATGTAAAGGCTAAATGGTGGTTCGACTTCTAGGGGTTTCTAGGGTACAACTAGATATAAGCAGTGTAGGGTTGTCCATTTGGTGAGGTTGGAAGGAAGCAGCTGGTAGGGTTAGCTTCGCTGTGTGCGTTCGCTGTGTTCCATCGAAGCGACCGCACGACAGCAGCGGTCTCTCTTCATGTGAACCATCAGCGGCTGCGGAATGAGTGTCAACCAAAGATGCACCCCAAGCGGTTTAGGAGCGATCGGACGCTACGTTCGGGGCGAACCTGGCATCGCTACGAACGGAGCAAGAAGCTACGAAGGGGGCTCCTGGCCTTACTAGGAGCGATCGGACGCCGACCGGAGCAAAGGGCATCGCTACTGATTCTGTTGTTACCAGGTATTTTGGGGGTGGTAAGCCGCTATTGATTCTGTGGAATACGCTTGTGTCCATGTCGGTCGAAGAGGACAGAAGTGCCCACAACCAACGAAGATTTCACACCAGGAATCAGCGACAGCGACACCAGTCGACCAAAACCAACCTCCATGTGCCTCAAGTCGACCAGTCGACCCAGTCGAATCGACAACGTCTCTTCTGACGGCTCTTCAGACCCCTCCAAAAAGCAGGTTCGCTCCCTAATCTTTCCAAGAGAGGTAGCCAGTGACCGTAAATAGGACCTTACTGGGGTACCGAACTGGGATAGGCGAACAGTCGGGTCCTTCGACCTCTGTTGGTTTGCACCACTTCCCCCTATGGTTCGCCGCCCCGATCTCCACCTGCGCCACTCCGCACCGGCTTGGGCAGCGCTCCGCCACTCCAGGTATGGCGAGCGCTGCCGCTACTCGCACGATCCGGGCGGCGCGCCCGGGGACCGGAGCCACGTGCCCTGCCGGCAGTTCGCCAAGGGCTTTTGCGCCTATGGCGATCGATGCAGGCGGCCGGCGCGGGCCAGGGAGATGACGAGGGGAGAAATCCAGGCAAAGCTTTCCCAGATACTCCGTGGGACTGCCATATATGCCGATCAGTTGGGGGTGGTTTGAGGGGTCAAGGTAGGCATATTTATTGCATACATGGAGTGTTTGGGTTTAGTTCACTGGTAACCAGTGGTTCCAAAGACTAAGACCAAAGACCGAACGGAACGGGCCTCTGGTTCCACACTACTGGTGTCTGCCTGGGATCGGGTTTGATATCTGGAAGATGGTTCATCCAGTGGTGGCTGATTGGACGGATTGGACGTCGAATTGCAACCCCTTCAGCACGAGTGCTGGACGTCAAGGAAACTGCGACCATCAACCACCCAGCACCATCATCCAATTCGGATTGTTGAAGGGAAAATACAGGTCTGCATCACTGGCACTACTATGAAATGGTTGAGCTGGGTTGGAGTTCGAAAGCCCAACTCTAGGTTAGCTGAAGCCATCATTGAACCTGTAGGTTGGCAACCTACAGTTTTATAGGTCTGCATCACTGGCACTCTGTGAAATGGTTGAGTTGGGTTGGAGTTCGAAAGCCCAACTCTAGGTTAGCTGAAGCCATCATTGAACCTGTAGGTTGGCAACCTACAG